AGTCATGTTAGAATTCTGATATATCGAACGTGGGCTATTCTGATGACTTATCATGTAAAAACGTCAATTCAAAGGTGATTTGCCTGCGTCACAATATCTGTGGTGTTACTGTTGTGTGTAATTGGCGTGACTAATCACACTATTTTCTAACGTCGAGGTACAGCTTGCGTGACGATTCACCTCAGTACGACAGATGGGTCAAAAAAACTCGTGAGGCACGCTTTAAAAGCCGACTGAAATTTACCTTAAGCTAAGTTTTTGAAAGCAAGACCTGTTAAGAACGTAATACGTAACGAACCACAGAAAAGAGCGTGACGCAGTTCTTTGAACACGGCGTGAAACAGCGAAACCTAACCCACTCCCTCCCCCTCTTTTAACATGACGTGACACTAGCGTGACCGAAGGCCCGTAACATGGCGCGATACTTTTACACCCAAATATAGTCCTAAAGTCCTGTATGGCATTGCACTGTGCCAAATCTCTTGCTTTAAGCACCCAGAGAAAACAGGATGTAGAACAGATCTGAACAGATCCGAACACCCAACGGATCTAGCGTGCACAGATCCTGGGCTCTAGTGTTCCAATATGGTTCTTTCATACCTCATTCTAAAGAATATCATTGAAGTCAACTCAAATTCACGATTCCCAAAATGGGACTCTGTGACACAGAAAAATTAATATGATGCGCTAGATGAAATCCTCGTAGAGGTGGTAAAAAGAAACAAAACACAAAACGTGTTAGATCATCATACGATGATGTAAAGGATCACGGATTTGCAATCAAAGGGATAAAACAATGAGGAAGATTTACCCTAAAGTTGTAAAAATTCACATGAATCTTGTTGAGAAAAACCATTTGACAATAGAAGTCGCTATCCATTACTTTTCACAATTGAAAAAATTTCATCTGAAAATACCTCACCAAAATGATTTACATACAAAACGGGATTTATCAAAAAATATACCCATATTTTCCCATAATCGAGTCGTTTTACTTAATCTACGGCCACTTATAGAGAGCGGTTTTCAACTGAGTGTCGTGAAACCAAAACCAAACCAATTACAAACAAATAAGACAACTCAGTCAATTTCAAACCGTAGTAAACCAAAACCAAAGTAACTGCCTGATCACTTTCGAAACTCAAATGAAAACCGGTCTGTAAGCTTTTACTTGTCTTCACGTTTTCTCAAAAATCGCCTTTCAGCAATGTAATTTGAGCTAAGATTTGCAATAAAATCACACTCGGCTAGCGAATTAATTTAACTGCTCTAGTTTACGCCATTAGTAAAATAAATAACAATAAGCTATCAAGACTTAAATTATTCCTTAGTTTCAGTTGTTACTAGATTAAAATTCCTCAATGAATTACCAAGATTCAAATAAGTTAAGTCTCATATAAAGCTATAACAAACATAATAGACACTCCTGTTAATATTCCCATATTTTGAGATAAAACAACGGACCAGCCGCCTCCTTCATTTATGTAGTTGCTAAGTTCTGGAAGCTGTCAGAGAAACAAAACAGAAATTAGAAATTGAAATTTGACATTTCATATCTTTTGTTTGCCTTCCTAGGATGCCGGGCGCTTTTCTCGTAACGCTCTGTGACTGGCTACTAGTAGGAATTAGGGAAAAGTTTAACCGGACAAATACTGACGTATTTCAGAAGAAGATTTCCCGCGCTTAGGACCAGTTTGTTTGGTTCTGCGGGTAAGAATTTGAAGTGAACCTGCAAGACTTTTGTTACAAAACGTATCAAGTTTAACTTTTTAGTGACTGTCTTGAAACAGGAAGATTTCCGAATTCAGTCGTTATGTGGCAGTTTTGGCGGGAAAAACGGCGGAAACCGCTCGGACGCAGTGCTGTGAAGCGCTTGGCGCTTGATACAGTTTACAAGTTTTCTTGCTCTTGGCAATGTGCTAGTTAATGTTTACCAGGTCATATATTTTCCCACATTTGCACCCAACGCTCGGTTACCTAGTTTCCTGCACTTGGCACCAGTTGTATGTTTGCAATTTGGGATTGATTGTGTTTTTGCATAATTTGCGTTTTTTGTTATCGGGCAGCGGTTGTCAGTTTGGTTTTGAGTTGGCTGTAATAACAGCAGAGAGTAAATACGTGGGTTGGATAAGGGCGTGCCAATCTCGGTTATCAGTTAACATGCCAACCTATTGCTCAGCTGCCACTACATTTTGCAGATCAAAGATCTCAGTCATGTCTCAACTTTTAGCCCAAACTGAACGTCTTATTTCGCAGCTGCCAACAAAATGTTTGACCAGTTCTCAGCTATCACTGTTAAACCGTTAACTGTGCCAAGTAAGTGACTTACCATGTCAACCAGGGATATATAGAGAAACATGCCAGCGGTGAGTGCCAAGACCCAGGTATGAGCCGACTGTATGTCACCGATAATGATGCCTAACACAAGGCCAAGGTAGGAAATAATGGCCGACGCAAGGTTATAGGCGAGGGCCTGTCTGAAGGTCAGGCCTGACTTCAGCAAAATAGCAAAATCACCTGAAAGTAAAAGAAAAAAGCGATGAACCAATTCAATATACTATAAACGAATTAGCTTGCTAACCACCTTACGTTCTCTATTCAACTTTTTCTAGTTCATGTACGTCTTTCTCTCAGGCCTTCACAGTCAAATAACATTTCGGTGACATCTTGAATGACCGCGGCGAAATATCGAGGCCAAGAAAGAGGGAAATTTTAGGCAAGTTTGTTGTCTTTACTCTTCGTATTTTCCAGCGAAACCTGCTAAACGTGCTTATTTTGTGTGCCCTGAGGTCAAGCATGTTACTGCATCCATGTGGGCATCTCTAGAGTGTCTTCTTCCACACAGATCAGATAATAATCAAAACGCTCTGGTCTTAGAAAAATGCAGCACTTCCCCGGAGTCTGAATTCCATTTTTAAACCCTTTTCGGATCACCTATTCT